GACCCCGCGCGCCGCCTCGTTCTCGTCGCCGTCCTCGTCCTCGTCCCGTCATCGTCAGCAGCAGCAGCAGCATCAGCCTCATCGCCGCCATCGTGGCTGGCATCTGTATCCGCGCCGTCTTCATCGCCATAGCAAGATCCATCGTCCTTGTCGCGATCACCCTCGTCAATAACAATATCGTCATCACACTGTTCATCAGAACCGACATGTTCATCATCATCCTCATCATCATCATCATCAACATCATCATCATCATCATCATCATCATCATCATCATCATCAGCATCAGCATCAGCATCAGCATCAGCATCAGCATCATCAGCAGCAGCAGCAGTCGCATCGCCGGCATCACCATCACTCCTGAGGCTTTGCGATCATCATCAACATCAGCATCAGTATCATCAGCAGCAGCGACAGCAGCATCGAAATAACCATCATCGTCATCATCCCCACCCACCCACCCGCCTGCCCTGGTCCATTAATTTCCTTGGCCTCTCCCTCCCCTCCCTCGACCGCACCATAAAGTACCATTTGTTTCGTTAGACGCGCTGGATTCATGGCGCGCCATATTCAGAATCCGTCGCTTCCTCCTCCTCGCCTTCCTCGTCCTCATCCTCATCCTCATCAGAATGACCATCACTATCCTCCTCATCGTCCTCTTCATGATCCTCCTCATCATCATTAGCATCATCATCGTCATCACCATCACAATCATCACGAGCATCAGCATCAGCATCATCATCACTGGATCAAGCCATTTTGGCTCAAGCTACAGATTGAGTGGGCAGCTTGCCACTATAGGCTCTCTTGCGTGTCCAGCGCAGGCGGAAACCTCTGCTTACAAAATCCATCTTCTCACTTGCCGCATACGGGGTGCATGCCCGCCCTCGCGGGCCTTCTTGCTCTCATTGCCATCTGCAGTGCCGTCTGCGACTTGGACCACACCCAGCAGTCATGGGTGACAGCAGTACGCGTGACAGGCGGCCCCGGGTCCATGACTCCGGCTTTGCTACCCCTGCTGGGCAATCAGATCATGGCGCCGAGGAGCCGCTGGCAGTCGACGACCGCTTCCTTACCCTGGTTCGCGACGCCCTGGCGGCTGATGTCAAGCAAACCGCCATGGACGCTATCGGAGAGGTGGCTACCGGTGCCGCCACCGCCGCAATCAACCGGCACATTAAGCAGGTGGACTTCACCATGGCCCACGCCCTCTCCAAGCAGGACGACACCTACCGGGCCCAGTGTGCCACGCAGGCCGCCCAAGTCGCCCCCGCGACTTGGGCGGCCTGCGCAAAAAAAAGAAAAAGTCGCCCCCGTCCCCAGCAGCCTCGAGCGCATCGAGAAGGACCACGGCGACATCGAGAGCCAGATCGCTGGGCTCAACCAGCGCATGGGGATCGCGGAGAACCCGTCAGCGGCCACCCGCGCCGAGATCTGGAGTGCCATCCGCAAGCTCCCCGCCTCCGAGTGCGATGCCACCATCCCCAGGCTTAACACGGAAGACTTCATCTCTCATGCGGGGGCCCACGGGCTCGTGAAAAAGCTCCCGAGGGACGCCAAAATTGCCGAGAGCCGCATCACCACCAAGGGGAGTCGCCAAGAATTTCGCCATCCAGCTCGATGGTACTCCCGCTACCGCCGCCTCAGCGGTTCAAGCACTTCTTCAACAGCGTCGTGATGCCGATGGTCGTTGGCGCTCTCTCTGTATATCCAAAACCCACGTGGACAGGTCAAGGCCTACATGTCTCCAGATGTCCCCGAAGCCACCCGGGCCCCACAGATGTTATCCAAACGTTTGTTCAAGGACCTGCAGATTCATCTTCCCGCTCACGCCGACAAGTTACATTACGTCAAGAAGTCGCCTTCGACATTCTACAACAATGTCTGGATCGCCCAGGGCCGTTGAGACAATGCTGCTCAACAGGCTCGTCCTTGGACTAACGCTGCTGAGCTTGGCCGCGCGCCGCTCTCGCCAGATGACCTCGAAGCCTCTATCAGCTGCGTGTCGCGCGGGGCTCTCGTCCGCTGGTGCCTCATCTTCGTCCTCTGCGACTGCTGGTTGGACGATGCATTCTATGTAGCCCTCTTCTTGCTGTCGGCCGTCCGCCTGGCAGCATGCACCGGCAGCTTCAGCGCGTCACGCGGAACGTCCAGACGGTGGCCAATGCCTCCTCCGCGTCCTTCGCCAGGCGCAAGGTCAGCATGCTTGCGAACCAGCTGCAGAACGCAGACGTGTTCTCTCTCCAAGAAGTTCGTGGCGACGAGCAGCATGTCCGTGACTTGATGGCCCCCTTGGCGTGAATGCGAATACTCCAACAGCAGAGGAGATTTCTAGTGGCGCTCTAACAGCATGTTCCCGCGCGCGGGCCGGATCTTCAGAAATCGCGCACACAGCCCACGCCCCTGGCCAGGTGCCTTCCACGACCATCTCGCTCCGAGACTTCGAGCTTCGCTTCGTCAATGCGCACACGTTTGGCACTACGAGTGCCAAGTCCTTCGCCGTAGCTCAGCGGATGCGCGCAGATTGGGATTGGATGATTGGCCTTCCTGAACTGCGCGCAGCCTCTCGGTCTGGAGACTGGAGTCTGGGACCTCCCGGCGCCGAGCGCCACTATCTCGAACGACCGGAATTCCAGCGTCCGAACGTGCCTCGCAACTACTCGACTGTCGAGCGGGACCTCGAGAGTGGCATGGCCGCGTTGACGGAGATACGGACATTACATTTCACACATCGTCATCATCAATCATCTAGCTCTCTCGTCACGCTTGACCGCACATTCCTTGCCGTTCCGTCGTCGCGCATGAAGAATGCACACATTGAGCCCTCGGTCCCCATCCCGCCGTTGGAGTGCAAACTCTTGGGCATCTCGGACCACGGCCCAGTCAAGACACTCATCCGCTCCCCTGAGACTCTGTCCACGACGGAGTTGCGCACGCCATGGAAGGTGGCCAGCAGCCCGAAATATCATGTGTTAGCCACGGAATGGATGACAGATGCAAATATTGCCCACCTCCCTGGGGTCGACAAGCTACTGGCAGCCAAAATGGTTCTCAAGGTCGTCTCGATGAAGACCCGCAACCTGCTGGTGCAGAAGGGCGGCACAAACTGGACCACGCTGATGGTTCTCACGACTGTGTCTCGATGTGTCTGGCGCAACGACATCCACCTCTACGACAAACCTCCTCATCAACATCCACACGCAGCCCGCCATATGGAGATTCACAATGGCAAGGTTCGACTCTGGGATCCCCTCCTCTTCGAATCCAGCATGATTGAGGCCAAGAACAAGTAATTCAACACGGAGGACTGCGATGTCACGGTTTCCGCATTTTTCGCCCCGCGACAGCGTGGTGCCGCGGGCTCAGTGCGTCACGGAACCGGCACGTCCCAGAAGAGCCGGAATGCACGTTACCGAAATTTGCGGGTCGCATCTTCGGGGTTCGTGCATTTGGCGGGGGTCAAGGTGAGCTCCGCCAGAAACGTCTCGACCATCATCCGTGACAGTGTTAAGAGGCAGGCCGCGATCCACGAACATTGGGCCGATCGATTCCTCGCCAAGCCGACGTCCGATGCGGCGCAAACCGTGATGATCGAACGTCACGGCCGCCGTTTCCTTGCTTACGGCCACAAGATACTGCGACGCACCGCACCTACCTTATGCACCGAGGTCGATCAGCACCGGGGCCGGATGGCATCCCGTACCTAGCGTTGCTCAATGCCACGGTCATCGAGGCTATTGCGGAAGATGTTGGGCTCTACTACGAAGGCATTCTCCCGTGCCGCGCGATGGCCTATGTATTCTTCGTTTGTCACGCTTCCGAAGGGGCAGGATGACAACGACACCATTGAGATCATTCGCGCGCCAGAGAATCTGCGGCCGCTGAGTGGATGAAACGCCGATACCGAGACTAGCTGGCGGCATGGCTCCTTAGATGAATCCGTTTCTATCTCGCGAAGCTCCGCCAGAGCTGCTGGAAGCTCCTTGCCGGTAGAGATTGCGATGGACTATGGTATTGTTTTCGTGTCAATGGCCCACAGCCAGCTGCTCAAAATTTTGCACGTCCAAAGATGGCCCGATTTCCTCATCGGCATCTCCCACTCTATGTACGATGTTGTTGCCACCGTTCTTTACGTCGACGGCCATTGGATCCCTTGTCTTCTCTCTATTAAATATGTGTATATATACACACATCCATACATTCATGCATGCATGCATGCACACATATACATATACATATACACATACATATACACATACATATACATACGTATACAAACATATGCAGTCATGCGCATACCTACATACATACATACATACATACATGCATGCATGCATGCATGCATGCATGCATGCATACATACATACATACATACATACGTATATACACACATACATACATACATACATACATACATACATACATACATACATACATACATACATACATACATACATACATGCATGCATGCATGCATACATATACATATACATACATATACATATAACGGCGCCCCAGGCTCGGGGGCCAAGGGCCGGAACAGCGACTCCAAATATGGGGACCAGGGCCCGGGCCCGCCTCTGGGACGCTTACAATCGCCCCGGGGAGCCCTCAGACAGCAATCCCGGCGGCTCCAGGCGGTCTCGAGACACCCCCAAGACGCCGTCCAGGGGTCTCCGGCGACGCACGATGCGTTTTAATATGCCCCGGAGGCCCCAAAGACGCCTCAAGAGGCCTTTAAGATGCCTCCCAAGAGCGCCCCGAGAGGGCAAAATCGTTGATTGCCAATGTTTTTCTCATGTTTGTTGCATTCTCGCTGTTTCGTGTTTCTGACGCTAAAGCACCGCCCAAGAGGCTCCCAAAACCGCTCAAAAACAGCCCAAGAGGTCCCCAAGAGGGCCCCAGACGGCCCAAGAGAGCCCCGAGACGGCCCCAGAGCCGCCCAAGACGGCGCAAGAGGGTCCCAAGAAGGCCCCAAGAGTGGCCCAAGAGAGGGAGCG